ATTATCCTTCATAACTGAAAACATCTCGCTGTCAGAAAAAAAAAAGCCTTTATACATTAACATCCGGCACCCAATATTAATCTCACCTTATTTTGCAACGGAAATAATGTATTAAAAATTTCTGTCTTAAATAGAAAGACGCCTATTCGAGTTCCAGCCACGTTTCTTTCGCAAGTTTCGGAATAAGCAGTATTACTATATAGGCAACGCCGAGCCTATTTTAGTACCTATGATGAGTGACAGATATTGTAAGCTTGAGTGTGCGTGTGGTGTAATGGATAACAGCTCGGAATTGGAAATCGAAAGTCGAGTTCCAATTCCAGTTGGGTTCGTTATATTCACTTACCCGCTAATACTCTTGGGAAACCACCTCCTCTGGTTAATTAGTAGAATTTGTATCAGTAAAAATGATTATTATCTAAAAAAAAAATCTTACAATCTAAAAATATTTTATGGCTTTATCAGGTTGACAAGCTGTAAAAAATCAAATGGAACAATAAAATGTAGAAATGATTTCTCTTAAGAGAAAACCTACGTTTGAGTTTATTCTAATGATGAAATATGCAAGATCAATTAAAAGAAAAAAATCTCTCATTTCCTAACTGAATTTTTTTATTTATAAGTGCAATTTATAAAATATTGAACGTCGTTTAATGTTATACTCAAAAGGTTTATTTCTAATATCTTCGAAATTTGAAGGCATCAATAATTTTTGCAATTTCTTTTTATTTGTTTGTTTTTTTATGGTTGGATAACACTCGGTAAATATTGTTGCCTTAAGTTTTTCCTCATTCAATGATATGTAAGACAATTGTAATGACAAAGCACTTTATGTGGGTGTACTTAGAAGTTGATTTCTCCTCTAGCCTAGTTTTGAAAGCTCAACTGGTGAGGACAAATTGCTAGTCACATTCAGTGCCTCGATAACAAAGCAAGTGACGTTCCATCATTATCGAGCGAACTCTGAATTTTCACCTATGACGATGAATGGACTTTCTCTTAGGGAGGGCCAGTGCCTTGAGCGCCTATTGGGATTTGAACTCAGGTCAAAGCTCAACTGTAACTCGTACATATGATCTATCTCTAAAGATACTGGAAAAATCGTCGGTTCTAGATGGCGCCCCAGTAATTACCTGACAGCTCTTGCTATCCTCTGCCATTACAAGTACCAGATCAGGCCGAAAATGGAGTGATGCTGCCATATCTGGACAGGAGCTGCCCTTCTTCATTTTCCAGTCTCGATAGAGTCTAAAAGCGTCTCCGCGTCATTGTCGGTGACAAATTATTTTCCACCCTACAACCTCATTTTCACAGACGAAACGCTATCAGCCTCTCGCTGATTTATCGCTATTTCCATGGAAAGTTTTCAGTCGAATGTTGTTAATACTGTTTATCATAAGCAGAGCATTTAATTAAATATTTGTATCTATAAAAAATAGCGTATATATATATATATATATATATATATATATATATATATATATATAGAGAGAGAGAGAGAGAGAGAGAGAGAGACAGAGACAGAGAGAGAGATGGATGGTGTAATGGTTAGCAAGCTTGTCTTGCTAGACCAATTACGATTGAGTAGTGAGTTCGATCCTGGAAAATCACTATACGTATATATATATATATATATATATATATATATATATATATATATATATATATATATATCACGCAAAAAAGTCTCGTTAAGACGACTAAAGTTTTTTGTTTTTTTTTCTTCGTACAAGTGTTTTATTTTCTAGACATAAAATGTGTAAAAATTGCCCGAATGTTTTGTATATCCGATCGCATTTTGACTATTATTTTCTTCATAATCAAGGATGTTCTTTATTTTTAACTCAATATATAGATTTCTTCATATATGATTTTAGAGTGATGGGAATGTATTGTTTATTTTCCAAATACAGTCACCACATTGTGGCCGTGTTCATAGTTGAGGTTATTGAGTTTTGGATTTTTTTTTATTATTAGGGATTTCATTATTTTTAGTCTTTTGTTACCTGTTGGTCAGAATATTATACTAATATATTGCATAGATCTGTGAGTATGAATGATAAAGTCCTAAAAGATAGTAAACTTATTAGTATTAGTAGTAGTAGTAGTAGTAGTAGTAGTAGTAGTAGTATTATTAGTAGTAGTAGTAGAAATAATATTTCACTTCCGCACAGCATCAGTCAGTTCTGTGCCATGCGTGATACACGCTTAGGCGATCATGTATCTTTCGATACATGACAGTAGTTTGCTATTTCTTTCTGCGGTAGACCAGTTGCCATCCAAGGCTATAGAACCCGGTCTGTCCTGCTATTTACCCATAGCTGGGGGTGGGGAGAAGATAAGGATTCATACCTTTCTCAAGGATTTTAGCACGTAAATGAATGTAATGGCTCGACTGAAATTCGAACTCGGCTCTCCGATTCCTCAATCGGACCCACTATCCATTACTCCACCGTGCCTCCCCATTCCACAAGGCATATGATGCTGATAGATGGTAAGATGCTTAATTTCAGGTCATTTCTACTGACTTAATAAAATAAACCGGTCATTAAACGAGTTGTCATCTCCACGCTGTATCCCATACTTTTCGAAGTACCTTTCTTGTTTTGAGCGGATATATGCTTTATTTATTTTATTTTTTTTTTTGCAATGGGTCTGTTTCCTTAATCCCAATCCAATATTTGCAAGGCTTTTTCATGTATTTTACACAACGTCCCAGTGTTCCAATGATCATTCATACTTTAAGTACTTTCTTTGCTATTGCTTCCCAAAATTTCATCTTTTAAATCATCGTAGTTACGGATCTAATCTTTTATTAATCTAATCTTATAATCTTATTTAATCTTTTATTATTAATTATACCGGGCTAACGTAGCTCAATTCAAGCAAAAAGATTTACATGAAAAAGGATCTTAATCACTCAGGAGAATTTTACTAAACATCGGGAAGATGGAAGAGGTTGCAAAAGATGCCACTGACACATATTTATCCCGATGGCGATGACCAAGTTGTCATCAGTGGCTTTGTTTCTAATGATAGTAGTAGTTAGGATAATAAGTTATGGCTATCCTAACTGATAGCCACGACTGCTTTTCACAGGAATATTGTTATAAGTTATTGCAAGAATGAGTTCGAGTCAGTAGAAAAACAGAGTGTGTGTGTGTGTGTGTGTGTGTGTGTGTGTGTGTGTGTGTGTGTGTGTGTGTGTGTTTTGACAGACAATAGGATTCTTTTTGGATTCGTGGGTAGTGTAACGGATATCGGCGCGGAAAATGGAATTGAACTCGCCTCAAGTTCCGGGTTAGTCTGTTGCGTTCACTAATACACTAATGCCCTTGGGAAAGGTACGAATTCGTCTCTTCTCCCCGTAGTTAAAATAGCAATATAGAATCGGCTTAGATTTCAACAAGTGTAAAAAAAATTAAGATGAATAAAGGAAAAATTCAAACCGTGAAGAAGACAACGGGAAACCATTCCATCTTTACCAAGAATGCTTCTCAATTCGCAGATCCTAAATAAAGATTCAATTGAGCAATGGATGACTTTGTCTCTCTAACAGAACTTTCAAATTGTAATCGCTCAATTCTCCTCGTGGACGAGCATTTTCATCACGTTTCAGCCGATTTATTGAAATGTTAAAAACAATAGAGGAGGAAGGGTATTTTTTTAAAAATCAACCTCGATTTATATTGTCACCAACGTTGATAGTTCCTCAACAACCAGCTTTTATCATTGTATCTCTTCATATTTAACATGTCGATATTATTAATTCTTTATTAAACTTATATTGAACATCTACAGAAGAAAAGAGGCACGGTGGAGTAATGGATAGCGGCTCGGATTAAGGAATCGGAGGGCCAAGTTCGAATTCCAGTTGAATCGTTTACGTGTTAATAGCCAAGTATAGGTAAATAGCAGGAAAGTTGGTCCACAGCAGAAAGAGCTGGTAGCCTGCTGCTGGAAAAATCTGTCTCGTCAGTCATGTATCGAAAGATACATGATCGCCTAATTGTGTGTTATGCACGGCGCATAACCGACAGAAGAATATTAATTATCCATATGTTCGCCAAACCTCACTAGCCCTATCGTATACTCCATCTTACAAAAATGTTTAAAATAAATAAATTTTCCTTTGCTGAAGTTATTTTTTAATAACGAGATTTAGAAACGTAACTTGAGAAATTTTACTAAATATGGAAGATATTCTACACTTCATAACATTTGGTAAATACTTAAACCAGTGATTTTCGACCAGGGTTCTGCGTTCCGCCAGTAAAGTCCAGGGTTTCCGCATCAGGCTTCACGCCCAAATTTCTCATTGAATTTTTAATGGAAATAAAATGTAATCCATTTAAACTGAAGTTTTTTAAATACATGTGTAATAACCGTAGAAGCAAGATTAAAATTGCATATGGACGTCGACAATATTTTTACAGTTTGTCTTTGTATTTTTTTGTAAATAAATCTGAAGATGAGTACTTTTATTTTATTTTAATATTTAAAAGCTTCTTCTTCTTTTTTTTTTTTTTTGCATAAGACAATTAATTTATTGCAGGGGTTCCTCGAGCCACTGGAAGGTTTCCTTGTGGTTCCGCTCCAGCAAAAAAGGTTGAAAACCACTGACTTAGACTAAGCAAATGCATTTTGATGAGGTATGACACAAAGGCTTATTTTAACTGCTAGGAAAATTTTCTTTCGGAAAGATATAAATAATCCAGAGGGTTTGCTGGTAGCAAACTGCCTGCATGAGTATAGAAAATGAATAGAGCAAGTACACAAAAAAAGAAGGCAGCAAACACTTAACAAACACTTCCTTGTCTTAAGCTGCCTTACGAAGGAGAATGTGACACAGAAATCCGAAAGCACATTGGATTAACGAAAGATGCCTCCCAAAAGCTAAACAAAGTATTAAGAAACAGGAAAATTTCGTTAGAAACAAAAAAAAGATTACTGTACTACGATGTAGTATCAATTCAATGCTACTATATAGAAAAGGCTTACAGCCACATCCCGTTGAAACAAAGGTTCCCGTACGATCACTGAAGTTAAGCATCTTTGAGCCTGGTCAGTAAGTAGATGGGTGGCCTCTTAAGAATACCAGGTGGTGTAAGCTCGGATTTGTTGGTGGTGTAATGTATAGTAGTTCGGAATTTTTAATTGGAGAGCCGAGTTCCAATTTCATTTGGGTTTGTTATATGCATTTACGCGCAAATATCCTTGAGAAAGGAATGAATCCAACTCTTATCATTCACCCGTCTATGGGTTAATTAGCAAGACAAGTATCACTAAATCATTATCTCAAAAACAAAATTATTAGAATCTAAAAATATTTTTTGGCTTTAAATAACCTTCAAAGAGGTGATAAGGCGTAGAAACCGAATCATTCAATCGCGCATTCAGTTGTATAACCTCTGAACTAAATAACCCAGTGCTTGCTTGGAGTCATCACAATGTCCCTCAAGGGATCAAGGTGAATGTGCTACTAAAAGAACGGGAATCAAGATGATGATAATGATGATTAAACTATATATGCAGTTAATAAACCGACTTCAATATGAACGCGATCAATGTGCTGCTATTAATGGTAGAGATGATGGCTATTGAAGAAGTACTGATTACAAACTGATCGAAAATGGTAGGATGGAAGCTGTCGGTGGTGTCGAAGGGATCAGAGGTGATGTTTGGCGGGAACGACAGTGAATCTGACAATGGCAGAAATGATTTGAGGTGGTGGTGACGATGATGTAAATGATAGAGGGGGGGATACCTGGAAAAGTGGATGACAGAGAGCAGATGTGATTGTGATAAAGAGGAAGTTTGATCTCTGCGTTGAATATCCAAATGAGATCTATGGAAGTGGACGCGCAGCTAATGCCACTAAATTGGGAGCATTTCAAAAAGCACATTACAAAGCGAGTCCACGCACGAATTCTCCCTCGTGAGCTTCATAAGAAACTACAAACGCAGCCGGAATAATCAGCAGGAGGTTTTTGCTTACCAGTTCACTTACCTACTCAGTTCATTTTACATACATTTATAACTATTTCTCTATCTAGAATTTTTCTTTGAATTTCCTTGATTTGTTTTTCCCTTTAAAAACTGACTAGTCCAACGTCTTTCATATTTGCCTCTTTAAATTTAAATAATGAATTCTATGTGTATTCGCCGTAGTAATGGCGAGTTTCTTATAAGTTAATTTTACGTTTGCATTCTAATGTTGGTACTGACGTGAGGGAAACAACATATGACTTTGTTAAAATCATATATATAAGACAAAGATTTTAGAACAACAATCTGGATTTAATAATATGTTAGATTCATACATTCTTTTCTTTAAATGATACTAAGCGAGGACAACGAAACTATTTAATCGTTAGTGCATGGAGTCCATTTTTATTTCAGAGTGAGAGTTTGCCTAAAGTTTTAAATCCGCCAGCCCTAAGATTACTATTACCTTGCAAGATAAAATAAGCAAAACAAGCTAAAAATGCTCCTGAAACTATATGCAGCAATGACTAAAAAGAGGTACTGAAAAAGGCAAGCAAACCTTCAATTTTAGGCGATTCGTGAAAATCCAGAAGGTGGCCTAATCATTATATATATATATATATATATATATATATATATATATATATATATATATATATATATATATATATATATATATATATATATATATATATATATATATATATATATATAGAGAGAGAGAGAGTACATATATATGTTAGCAAGCTTGTCTGTGCTAAGACTATTACGATTGAGTAATGAGTTCGATCCTCACAGGGTGACCCCTACTTTTGGCCTTGTGGCACTTCTAAGCTACGCTTGGAAAATCACAACATGTATGAAAGTATGTACATTTTATTTACTCCCTCCCCACTACAATTTCAATGCTCTTGCTTTTCTCCTCCTCTTCTATTACATTTCACGTTGTGCGTTTATATATAAATAATAAAGGTTCGGAAATCATTTGGCCCGAATCGTCTGTGCATACCGAAAGGATGTAAAACCAAGGTAGAGTGATTGGCTGATCTAATTATTCTTTTTAATTTCAAAGCTCTGAATGTTAAATTTTTATTTTCTTTTACGTGTATTGAGCACTTTTGAATACAACTGTTTCCTTATTTAATTCAACTCTGACCAATGACTATTATATATATATATATATATATATATATATATATATATATATATATATATATGAATGAAACCTGTCGTGTAATTTATTGGGGTTGTTGTAACTTCTTCCTTTAATGTCGTTCTTATCATTCACCCCTTAACCATCTATATCTAGAGACGAGACGCGTTAAATTTGAGCAACATCTAGCCGACACACTGGGTTAAAAATAGGAAATTGAAATGATGCATATGACACACTCATATCCTCTCTCCCACCTCACTTCCTCACTTCGTTAATTTTACGTACACTTGATGAGGTCCGTAAAAACGTGTGAATTTCTTTTTTCATTTTCATTTCAGCTTTTGGAAGTAAAGTCTGATGATCCAGAACCCTGTTAAAGGGGTTATGGTGAAATAGCTTATTACATGGAATCTTAACGTGGTCTGTCTTTTATTCAAACATATATATATATGTATGTATGTATGTATGTATGTATGTATGTATGTATGTATAAATAAAAAGAAAGAACAGTAAGATATATAATCCGGTGTTCTTAGATATTTTTATTTTTACAAAATAGTGCTCAATGTAAATTTACAGAGCATTAATATTATTAAGAAAACATATTTTAAATCAATTAATTTATAATATATTTTAAACCATATTTTAAATCAATAATATATTTTAAACCATATTTTAAATCAATTAATTTATATATATATATATATATATATATATATATATATATATATATAAATAAAGTGAGAGAGAGAGTATAAAAAGAGACAGAGAGAATATATATATATATATATATATATATAGAGAGAGAGAGAGAGAGTAAGAGAGAGAGTAGGAGAGATAGAGAGAGTTTGGGTATATATAGAGAGGCATGTTGTTTTAAATCCCTAAAAATGTTAGTTATCATTCAGTTATTCAGTTATTCATTTTTAGGCATTTAAAACAACATGCCTGGCCGCATACACAATTCCGGAAAACCTTTGTTGAAAACACAACTATACTTAAACATGAAAACAATAAACAAAAACTAAAAATTCTTGAAGCTATATACATAAAACAGTTGAAACCTAACCTGAACAAAATAAACTACAAAATCTCCACAAATATTCTTAAATGCCTATAATTGATAACAGAAGCCATTGGTTTATACCAACGGCTTCCGATACTTAATACTTCTCGTTTTCACTCTCGCGTGGCCATGTGTGACGTCACGAGCTGCGACGCGATTTTCCCTTCCGCGTCTCGTATACACGAGATAGTGGTTGCCTTGAAATTTTTCATGCAACAAACAAAGACTATCATTATTGTTTCGTCCGTGTATTGGTTGACATATTGAAAAGTACTTGCCATCTTTGATAATGACTTATATAAGCCGAAAGCTTAGAATTGATTTAAACGTGTATCAGTATGGTGATTTCCTTTCGTCTTTCAATGATAATGTTATTAAGCTTATCAGACAATATGAAAGGAACTTACTTAAAATAAATAAACAAAAATTGTCTATATTATTTAATGAAACATGCATCAATGAAAATTGCTGCCTAAATATGCACAATATATATATATATATATATATATATATATATATATATATATATATATATATATATTGATTTGTATTCTTTTTCTTATGTAAATAATTTAAAAGAACATTTTAATAAGCATAATAACAGTTTTTGTTTATTTATCCATTAACAGATATTCACACGCAGTACGACTTCCTTGAACGTTCCTCATCTCTACCGTTCTTATATTTTCAAAAGGAAACGCGTCAGCCTGCCGACATTTCGAAACAATTTTATTCCTTTTATTGATTAATCCATTTATTTTCTGGAATTTCGCCTCCATACATAGATTGCAAACTCTTCCACTGTTTTTTGTCGTTTTTATTATCTTCCCTTCTACTACCGATATTTTCCATTTTATTTTTAGTCCCCATGTTTCGGACGTTGTATGCTCCGGCCTTCTTCAGATGATATACGTTGGAATTTCGAACCTAATCCTTTATTTAGGCACTGTGGATAAAAGTGTCGGTTGCAGTAATCTAGTGAATTGACCCAAAGAGTTGTGAGTTCAACAGCAAACTTGGAGAGTTGAGTTACTAAAGGGAAATATCTGAAACTGAGATATCCAAAAAAGGCATGGCACGTGGAACGAGAACAATCTACCCCAGTGGACTAAATAAGGGGTTCGGTTCGAAATTCCAATGTATATCACCTGAAGAAGGCCGGAGTTTACAATGTGAATACGACAATAAACATGAAGACAACAGTCTGAACAATGTATATAGTTTAAATTCTTACAATGCCTCATCTCAGAAATATAGACAAACGATGCACCAAATTTTAACATTCTCAAAGAGTATTAATATGACGACTTCCAATCTGACACAGGAAATAAAAAAGCGTGCTGTGTCCCCAGCCGACAACAAAATCGACGCTTGAAGGTGAGAAGGTGAATAAGAGGAACAAAGTACCCACGGTGATGAATAATATGTCGTTTGTGGTTGTCATGTTGTACGTGAGACAAGAGGGCTATGTTATGTCGACTTCAGCAAGTTAGAATCAAAGTCGGCGCCTCCATTGTCAATTTATATAGTAATATTATGATCAATTTTTGGCACAAAAATTACTATGCCTGGTCGCAATGAACCTATCAGATTGCATTTTAAATAGATAACAAATTAAGCCACTTTTTCTGCATAAAATGGAAAAATTTCTACAACTCAAGACAGATGTGAAACTGATCATGACATAGCCACACGTTTCTGTATTTCCAATTAACTTTTGAAAGTCAAAAACAGTTAACCCAGTATAATTACAAATTGTATATATATATATAGATCGAATTCCAGTCAAATCCATTACATTCATTTACGTGCTAATAACCACTGGGAAAGGTATGAATCCCCTTCTACTCCCCCCAGCTATGGGTAAATATCAGAACAAGCCGTCTTTTATGGTAACTGGT